CAAGATGTAAAAGATAGTTTCTTAGGTAAAATTCAAAGTTGAAATTAATTTTTTTTTATAATCAATGTTTTTTTTTTGCAACCAATTTTTTGTTTACAATCAAATTTCTTACAATCTTTTTTTTTTTTTTACCATCAATTTTCTCTTTTTTAAAAAAAAAATATTCTGCCATAATTTTGAAATTTGCACATGTACTAAATAAAAATTTTCTAAGTATTATGTATTTGTAACCATAGAGTATTGTTGATTTATGTCTAAAATATTTATAATATTGAATTCGATGTTAAGTTTATTTGTTGTCTTTTTAAAACTTTCTAAAAAAGAATTCCAATCCTCACAATCTGTTAGCATCATTCAGACCCCATCTCAAGCATTCTTTTTTGTAGTTTTATTAGAAAAATTATATATATATCTACTCTTCCATCTGTAACGTTCAAGGCATTTCTTTCATATCTAATAATTTCTTTTATTGCTTTTCACAAAATGTTCGAGCATATTCTCCTATATAGCATCCAGTATATATCGATCCAAAATCATAAATTAGTGTTCAATCCCTCTTTCTTTGTGCATTGAACATTAATTATGGATGCCCTAAATTCTAATGATTTATCAGAGTTGTTTTTCAGAGCATCTAAATTTTTTCATTAAAGTTCCTACTAACTTATTAATAATGATCTGCTTCTTAATAACTTTACCAGAATCGTTTACCAACACTGGCAGCCTTGACAAAACAACTTTTTTTCTTAGAAACACATTAAGAATTTCATTGTCAACAGGTTGTTGAGCTATATCCTGCTTGGTCTTTGCGTCAATAATCGGTCTTGTCTCATTCTTTGAGAAACTTATGCAGAATAGCTTTCATTACAATCATTGCAAATTGTTGACCTACACATGATCTCGGTCTCTAAACATTGGTGAGGAAAGAGTAATCAAATTCTCATTTTTTATAAAATGTTGTAGATCAAATTTAAGTAGACATCAAACAACTTTGGTAATGATCAAGACTAATTACAATGTTTGTATCTGCCTTAATATGAATTTCTGAAACTTCACAATTATTCAAAGATTTTCTAATAATAACTGGTCTCACAGACATTGTTTTCATAGATTTTTGTAAGACAGCTTCCAAAAGTAAATCATCTAAAGAATCTATTAATTGGTTCATAATTTTTTTATTTTCAGTAAGTAGTAGTATGGTATAATACATGCTAACGGAAGCATTATTTGTGCCTGCAAAAACTATTTCAAGAATACATTGTTGTAGTTCTTTATTTGTCAAGTTATTGTTATGAAGTTGGTGTTTTTTTTGTAAGTATTGAAATAATATTTTGAATTGCTTCTCAAAGTTTCAAAATGGATTTTTGGTAATGAAAAAGATGTAAAGGAAACAAATACTATATGAAATGTGGTTTTAATAAAAAAAATTCTCAAGATTTAAAGTAGTCAAGAATGTAGTCAATTAAGTAATATCAAATCAAGTTGAATGATGAGAATGACTGCAAGAGAGATATGTCAAAATACATTTAAATAATCAATAATTTGTGCATTGCCTTTTAATGCTGATTAATTTTTTGCTAGTTTTTTCTGCTACAATGGTAGAAGCTCTTTGTCTAGCATTTTGAAGTCTAACTAGCTTGAAATATATGTTTTTGAAGTGTTTATTTCGAAGCATCATTATTCCAAATACAGTAATAGTAGGTTTCATAATTATTTTGAAAAATAAGTGGGAGATTAAAAGATTCTACTTCTATTTTTAAAATTCAGACTCAGTGAATTAAATAGGCAAACACTTTAATAAAATTAGCTTTGTTTTGATAAATTTTTATCACTATCAATAAGTTTATTCGTTAAAAAAATAGGATTTATTAATGATCAATTATATCATTTATTGCCGTAGCATATAATTATATATTATATATTACATACATAATGTAGGCCAATCTGCCTGCAGCTTATTTACACAAAACAGCTATTAAATAATTATATGCTGCAGCAATATCAACTCAAACTTTGGGGGGCTGCCCTGGTATTGTCTTTTTATTGTTCTCAGCTTCTTTTCAGCATTTTTTATATTGCAATATCATTTACATATATATACTGTATATTTTTTATTAAATCTGTTTGCAACAAATTTCAAAAAATAGCTAATAATAAATAAATTCTTGATACTTAACTACAATATGTGGTTTTATTATTATGCAAACTTAGCCCTGATAAATCAGAATAATGCTGGTATTAATTATTGGTATAATTTCAGTAATACAATTAATTAATTAATTATATATAGGAAGCTATATTAGAAAATCGACCAGGGTAGCCCTTAAAAATACGGGTCATGTAGTGTAGCGCCACCTGCTATTGTTGAATCTAGTGATGCCAACATAACATATGAGGTATACATGTTATACAATCTAATCAATTATGGTATTAGTACAACAATCCTGCATAATATGCATGTAGTACAAATATCGCAAAAAGCTATATATAATACAGCTAAACAAATCAAAAAATTCAAACTTAAACCTAAAAAAATTTTTTATATTTTATACTTATCGTAATTATAGATTTGTTTATCTTTTATTCAATTTTTTCAATTAAATTCGATATAATAACTTATATATAAAATAGGTTTTACAAAATTCTAATTTAGTTTTTTAAAAATTTACAAAAAGAACAAATCTTTAAGCCAC